AAATTACGGAACCGAGCGGGGATTCGAACCCAGAACTTCTCTGAGGGAAGGAAAACGCCCACCAACTCGGCCATGCGTCTAGTATAATTATATTTCCTTCTTTTACTTTTGTAAAGTGCATAAATGTGGCTCGAACTAAGAAGCAAAGACTCCAATAAGTGATATCAACACGAAATTTACTCACGACAAGCCTCTCCAATAAGCGAAGTCTTTATACAACGTAATCATCTGCGGGTTTCAATACAGGCACTTCAACTATGTCTTCATTACTGGTATGTGCAGCTTAATAGATTGTGAATAGTTACTGTCATTTCGAATGCATTGTAGGTGAATGGTTACCAGTATCTGGTCTGTTTAGTTTGTTGTTATTGTTCTGGAGTTGTAAACGGACCTGTAGTGGATCTTGGTCTACCCTTGAAATAAAAAGCTAAACCACCAAAAAAGCTGCCATGCTTAAGGCTACGCTTCTGGTTATGCTTCCTAATGATCAAGTCTAGCGCAACATTTGCGCTCTCGGTTGCCTTAGGTTTCCTCTTGGGTAACATGTTGTAGTTAGCCCTTAAGCAGCGAATTGTTTTATCTAGTGTTGCAATTGTTGTGTTGCCTAAGGTCGAAGTTTGGTGCAAATAGACATGATTTCATGACCATAAAAAAACCAAGCAAAGACCGGGTCACATCGATGATATTCATAATATGTACGTATGATGCTTGCATATAACATAAAAATAGGACCAACACCACACTTACATGCACACGCTCAAGCTGATCTTTCGACCTTCTGTTCAGAACTTAGCATTTTCCAAGCATAAGCTCTATGCTGAAAACATGGAGAGTTAGCAATTTATTGGTCATTGCTACCTAGTAATTTAGATATGATCGGTCGACCCTCATCTTGTCGAGCCAAGCAGTTTTAGCAGCCTCCGAGCTTGCTGTTGGCAGACACTGTTATGAGCGTGTGGTGAGAATTCTCAGTTGAGGCGTCGGTAGGAGCGCTTGAATTGGTACCGAAACCTTCGTTCTTGGTGCTGTCACCAGAAGCAAGCAACTGGGTCCCCACAGAACCAGTCTGGTCGCTCTCGCTTCTAGGACCAGCAAGAGTGGCAGTCCTAGCATCAGCGAAATTTGCCGAGCCCAGCGCGAGGGCGAGGCAGACTGCAAGTACTGTCTTCATAATCGGAATCGATCGCCTAATCACGGAAAGAATGGATTAATTAGAACATGATATTACGATCATCTGATAGTACAAGAGTCTCTTTTTTTTTTTGTTTTTGGAAGATGTATCAGTTGCAACAAGGATCATTTCTCTATTTGCACCATGCTTCAAAAATTATAAAAGAAAAGTTTTTGAGATTATGATGTTTCAAGTATATAATCTCTAACTTGAAGCTACCTACGAATGCATGCCTCAGCAGATAAAAGCTCCAAAGCAAGTTGTAAAGAAGAAAAAAAAAGCAAGTTTGAAGTGGGGTGATCATTTTGTTGCTGCACCATTGGAAAAGGTTTAAGCCACGCCCAAGAAGTAATGATGATTAAGATTTGATATCCAAGGCTCCTCATATGATCAAACTTTCAAAATCTTCATAATTCCATTTCGAGAGATTGGAAAAAATCGAGATGGACTAGTCTTACGAATAATGTGATGATAGAATCAATTCACAACTCAAAATTCGTATGCAAACTTGTGTTTCAGATGGGATCAAGTATGCAACCTATGTGATTTGTGAGTGATTTGATCTAGTGGTATGAACATAGGCACTACTGAGTCAATCTTTTTTAGGGTTCGAGGAATAATGTAAGTAATGAAATGAAAAGTGAAATCTTTCCGATGTGCAATATTTACATTGACACTACGTCAAAATTTGCGGACTGAGGAAAAATTTGGGAGAGTAAAGTTGATAATTTTAATCGGGTAAATTTTTTTTTAATTTAGAACACTCAAGCTTGACTAATCACGTCGGGTCACGATAGTGTTTGCTCGCCTCTCCTCAAGGGTGGGTAATTATTGAGGCAGGAGGAGGCCCTTGGATATGCTGCCGAGAAAATTCGTCTTCGTCGTGACGAATTAGACTCGTGTTTATGTGTGTGAGAGAGAGGGGGTATATGTGTGATTTGCGAAAGAAATCGAGAAAGAAAAGTGGAAGATGGAGAAATAAGATTCGCGTCTACTCATTTTAATAACATTTAACTAAAAAAAGGCTACAAAACTCACAGCGAAAAATCGCGAATTATGTTTTACAATGCACAAAAAAGATGGTAACATGTTCATAACCATGGCATATTCAAAGAAGGATATAATCATATAGTCGGCGGAGCCTGCCAATAATTATTTGGAATACCGAGTGAAATTATCTTTAAAAATAATAATAATATTGCAAATGTTAGATATAAATTTTTTTCTGCCGTCCTCTTAATTTATAATTCTCGATCCCTCAATATAGACTCAGTTTCGCGCCACCCTCGCACTTAAGAGAGAGAGAGAGAGAGAGAGAGAGAGAGAAGAAGAAGAGAGATGAGAGAGCAGAAGACGCCATTGAAGGAGAGCTCGATCTCGATCTCGCGCTCCCCGTCTCATCTCTTTTTGTAGAACTTTTCCAGCCACAGCTCAGTGCTTGATTTGTTCTTTTTCCCCTTGACTGGTTCACCAAGCGGGGTTTTCAAATAGTCTGACGCAAAACCTTGTACAACCTGTATAAAACGAGCCCTTTATAAGCATCGACAACAGTAAATGAATAAGAAGATTAAAATGTAGATTAAATCACCTCTGATGTATCCCGAATTTTGTGAAGCGCAGCATCCACACTCGCATATATTGTATTCCTCTGTCAAAAAAATTGAACAGACTCTTATTGACACCACTAAGCTAACCTACGACTTCGACCAATCAAGGTCAAGAAACAAATAGATATGCTTCACCAGGATATTCGAGCTGTTTCCAGCATCCATCATCAGGCAGAGACAACAGTGAGATTTACTTTATTGTGATTTTATTGGAAGAGGCCTCACCAATGCAACATCTTTCAGCATTTTTTGTAATTATTGAGGGGGCAATGTCCCCATTCTAGGGTTAGTAATGGGGAGTAAGGAGATAAAAGATGAAATCTTTTTCTATTATGAAGTCTGTAAGTAACCCAAGTCTTTCAATCTCTTTCTAGAGCGAGTGGTGTCAAGTTTGAGGACTCGAATCTGATTTCTCACACCCACTTTTACCATTTTTTGGGGAAACCTAAGTCTGTAAGTATCTTAGGTTTCCACATGTTCTTTCACCCACACATGTATCGAATTTGCATGCTTCAGGCCCTTCATGTGCCGAGGAGTATCAAAGGACTGATATAATCGATGTCATTTCCCAATAATCTAAGCTTTCAAATAAACGGTTGCGCATTTAAATTCAAGTCTCAGTCACATCCAAAGAAGTTTCATGAAGGATAATTAACAGTTGGTAATCAAGAAACCTTTCCAAAGAGAAAATTTGTATTGCGGTGGTAATATTACGTGTAATGTTGGAACACTCTCACTATGGTAGAATTTTATCCAGTGATGAAATTCTTGTGGAGAAGCAAATGAAAATTAGCTGATACTTACGCTGGGTTTACACATGAAGGGTAAAGATATGGATATTTGATGCGAGTGGTTAAGTGATTTTAAGACCGGTTTACAATGAAAACTCCCATAGATTTGACAATGCAAAAAGCGCCAAACATGAAAATCCTAGAAACATGAAGCAAATTATTATCGAGCCTTATGTTTGATCTCTTCACTTCGACTACACACCTCTAGAAACGGAAACATGAAACCGTTATCTTCTAGAAAGTAGCTAGTTTGATCGGGCATATGAACGAATTCAAGGTTCATTTGCGAGTTAGACGCATCGGCATTGTTAGATCAGAAGGAACTTTAAAGGAAGTCCCTTCTTCATTGTTGCACTGCATATATACAATGGTATCCAATGTGCAAATTAGCGGAATAATGACACAAATATAACCTCGGCTACATAATTTGATGAAATGAGCAGTCGAGGGAAGTCAATAATGCAAAGTTGCTCTCCATAACATATTATCCTGCAAAGACATAGATCTTAGGATATCAACCGAACACATACGTAGCTTAGCCATACTAAAATGCTTACTTTCTTATTTGTACCTGAGAGTAGATACATAATAAACACTTAAAAGTATGCATTCTTACGTTCTGATTAGTTTTATATATCTCATGTGCCGTTAAGTTAAACAAAATCATATATGAATGGATATTCGTTTATAAATTTGCAAGCTTTTTCTCAATTCCTACCAACATAAGAACATACCTCGACAGAAATCCAACTTCACATCCAAAATTAAGAGAAAGTACTATATGTATCAATTATATTTTTGGCATGATGTGACGAGCCAATTGAAATGCTTGCATAATATGAATCCAATAGACTTTACATTTGAATTTAAAAAAATACCATTTTATGTTAACTTGCGTTTCGACTGATATACGACATATGCTCAAAAAATTTTCTTCAAGTGAAATTATATCTCCCTTTCTTTCTCGTCCATTCCAACATCAAGAGTTTTCGTTGAACCGAAAATTCTTTACCTAATAAACCTCCGCATACAAGAGAATATAAGATGCTACTCGTGGCTCTTTTTGGTACCCGATTGTCTCTCGTAACATCCTTTCCTTAACCTTGAAGTTTCAGAGGAGACACGATTCTATAACCACATAAAACCAAGCTACGGCCAGGTTTCTTATTTCCATATCTTGTAGTGGGACAAACCACATAGCAGGTATGGCCTAAGGGCTAGCTATGATCGTGACATATATGTTGCATCACACATAAATCACGGAAGAGAGACACCATAAAGGGTTAAAAAAAGCTGATCATTTCAACTTTCTGGTGGAAATCAACATGTGCCATGCATAAGATCTATGCTTTAAACAAGAGGTTCCCCAACTTATTCATTCATCCTATAATTTACATTAGACTGACCATCCCCACCTCCCAACTGGGCAGTTTAGGGGCAGGGGCACGGGATCACACGGTGACCATAGCCTCTGGAGTCGACTGGAGTGCTTGAGTAGTAGTTGAATTCGTCGTTCTTCTCCCGCTGGGGCCCGGTTTGAGCGTCGGTGTTGCCTGTAGTAGTAGCAGTGGTAGGAGTAGAAGAAGTACTAGTAGTGCTGGTGGAATCGGTCTTTCTTGAAGTAATAGTAGCGGCAGAAGTAGAAGAAACGGTAGCATCGCCACTGCCAGCAACAGCTTTGCGGCCCATGCTCGCATCGGCAAGCTGACGCCCCTGCAGATTCATGGGCTTTGCATGGGCTTGTAGAGCTACCACAATCAGCACAAGGACAAGGAAGAGCGCAAATGCTGCCTTCATGGTTGGATTCAGTTGCTTGACCTGAAAGGGTGGATTTACAATCACACAATGATCGTCCAACAAAACTCGTATAATTTATTTTTCATGGAGGCAATAAAAGATGATTTTATGACCTACTGATTCTAATAAAAACCATTTTTCTCGATTTCCTTTTGCACCTAGTTTCAAGAACTAAAGAGAAAGAGGTAATTAACTTTACTCGAAACCACTTAAACATATTCTCGATAGATGAGGTATGATACAGGAAGAAGATATTTGAAATCTAGGGTTTTGAGGACATACCAGTTTATGTGACGAGGGAGTGTCTCCGCTTGGTGTGATGATCTGGTGGTCCTTTGGGTGGAATTTATAGGCAAAATGAAGCACTCGAATCTTTCTTCATAAAAAGCAAAATTTGGAGTGGGGGGATCACAATGTTGCTGCACCACTAGAACAGGTTGAGCCACCAAAGAAGTAATCATGATTAAGATTGATAATTAAGGCAGCTCGTGGGTTGACATTCAAATACTTAGTGATTACTGAGGGGGCAATGTCACCATTCTATGGTTCATATATGGGAGTGATGAGATAAAAGGTGAAATCTTTTTTTCTTTCCGTAATAACTACATGACACTACGTCAAACTTTGCTAACTGGAAATCATGAATTTAAATAAAGACAAAATTGGGATCAAAGGGCGTGGTTAAAATTAATCATTGTTAAATAGGGGCTCTTTATACTGCTATTAACGGTCTATGTCTTAATTTATGGCGTGGTAAAGAGTTGTCAATTACATGCATCGTTAACGTGGGATTAGCATGAACAACAGTAGCATAAACACCTTTAGGTCAGAATTTCATTGCATGCTCACAGTCACAACGCATTAGTTTCTAGGAAAGAAATTATAATTTTTTTTAAAGGTTATGTTCTCTCCACTTAATTGGTTCTCTGAAACACAAGATCCATCTATTCTTTGAATATGGCAAGTATCATTGCTTAATGATTGAAGTGATTTTTACTTCCCGTTTTTTAAAAAATTTGACATTTTTATATTAAAGTGAAACAGACTTTCACAATCTATAAATGTTTGTCGCGACCTAAACCTCCCTCGGCGGTGCACCACCTAGGGTTTCGGCTAATGGATTATTAAGTCTAGACTTAACTCAGGCTCTTCCAAACCCATACAAATTTGCGACTTGAGGTTCAAGTTCTTAACATGCAAATCATTTCAATCAGGAGTCGCCACTAATTTATTTTTTTATGGGTCAATTAGAAACCCAAATAAAGTATCGGGAGAATTACTTTACTCCTACGAACCAGAGATTATGGATTCGGGGACTTGGTTACACTAGATTTCTCTAATGCCCTTACTTGGATTGATTTTAAACATATCCATTAACATGAGAGGTAATCATGCGGATGTGTAACCAATAATATAACACTCAATAATGCAAAGCAGTAAATAAATTGCAAAGATAAGGAGGAAAACTTACCTTGAAGCAACGAAAGGTTGTACAATGTTAGTTAGAAAATCACATCAACAACCCTAATATGATTTCTAATTAGCACGCAATTTCACTCAAATCCTTTTTTAGGGTTTTCTCTGATTCAATGAAAACTAAACTGTATGCAATGCATTCTACGTCTAACATGACATGCGACATATGATTTATTTAAATGCCCTAATTCTAACAACAATTAAATGCACTATCTCTAATATGGCACGCAAATGAACCTCGACGTGAGATTTCTAATGACGAGAATTAATTAAAATGCAAATACTCTAATATGACATGCAAGTGGTGTTTTTTGTAATTTTCTATGAAATTCGAAATTAATGAAATTCTCTAATTTAAACATGCAATCTATCTTTAAAATCATCTACTTCAATAGTATCTAATCTGTTTGGATTTTTTTAGAAAAAACAAGATCAATTCAAATCAAACAAAGATAGAAAGAAATAGCAATCCAACGACACCAAATCACAAGAAATATTATCCATATTCCTTTTAAATTTAGAAATAATAGATTGACGAATTATATCTCGAGCATGAGGATCGGATTGGCCAATCTTTCGCACAATCGCGAATCATATCTCGGGCGGGAGATCGGATTAACGATTTTCCGTGTGATCGCGAGTCATATTTCGGGCATGAAATCAGACTGTTGACCGTAGCACGTTACGAAATTAGGAAATAATTCCTAATTTAAAGGCTATTCGGGAACTTATTGGATATGATAATATTACTCAAAGATTCGCATCAGATTGCAATATTTCAAACAAGGAAGCAATATACTCCAAAGTCAAATTAGATGAGCTTTTTATCTAATTCAAATATTTGCTTTCCAAGTTTGGACCGGCGGATGGTGGCTCGCGATATTGGACGGTGGAGGAGTGAAGACTGGCGATGAACGATCACTGTGACAGCTAGGACGACGGCCTTTGAGCTTGGGGATCACGGTTGAGCCACCAAGTCGGTATGCAAATCCCTTCGTGGGTCTATTAGTCCGAGCTTCCACTGAAGACTTGATACTTTGACCAGGCAATCTACTTTGACCTCCACTATATCTCAAAAGAAATCAAAAGGTGGCATCTTCTGCATGTGATGACGACGAGGCCATGGGACTCACTGCAGGGAACATCGTGGCTTCGCTTTGAGGCTGTGAGAGCATCGGACCGAGGAAGAACGCGACGTGAGCTGCGGCAGCAGGGGGGCGGCAGCAGGGGCTACGTGGGCTGCAGCGTCAGTTTTCGTGGTGCTCACAATGCAGGGAACAGAGCAGCGCGGAAAGGCTTCTATTAACCTGCAAACACAGAGAACTTCGCCAAACAGGGAATTGTCATGGACTGGTGCTAAGTTGGACTGATCGGAACAAGCCGCAGGATGCACTTCGAGGACGCCGAGATAGGCCTATGGACGCCGGGTTTTCGTCAGAAGACAGAGGAAGATGTAGCGAGACTGATTCGTCGCCGGACTCTGAGGAAGGACTGCGACGATTGCTGGTAGGTGTGAAAACCAGCTCTGTGATTGGTGATAAACGGCACGACCGAGAGATGGACTCGTGGATTGCTCTTCGTATTTTCTTCCTCCTTTCTTGTGCTCTCAATTCTCTCTCCACCGTATATATTAATATGAATAACGCTATTAAACGAAAGAGAGAAGAAAGAGCCCCCAATATTGTAAACGAAGCCCCCCTTTTATATGCAAGTGAAGTGGTCTCCGTAGGGAAACGACTAGCTCTTCTTTCCTCTTTCAAGATATTCGTACATCATGGCCAAAGATACATTCCTCCACGAGTAAGATTAATTTCCCTTCTTTTGACTGTGAGTACATCTTTTAGTGATCTGTCCATATTTTTTCCCTTAATCCCTTTTGACCGAATATGGCTTCAAAGCTTGCATGATTGATTTCATTTTTTTAATTCAATTACCCCAAGATAAATCAATCTCCCAATTCAGCAAACTTCCCAACGAATTTCATCCATGAGAATTAATGGGCTAGGTCAAATTTTCATCAAGGCGGGCTTAATTTGATTAAACTCAAAACCATTCACTCGAGTTCATCCGTCGACGGTCCAAATGCAACTATATGAGGCTATTACTACTAATTCAAATGCTTCTAATCTATATGCAATTTAACTAATTTTTTTTTCTAGGGATCGGGATCGATCCCTAATTTTTTATGCAACGAACAACTGATTGGGTCACCAAAATTTAGGTGTCAACAATGTTGACATGGAGTTTCACGTAAAATTCCTTATAATAGTGTAAATAAGCTAGTTAAATTAGTATTAGATTGGAATAAGTGTAGAAACAAGAGTTAAGGTTTTGGTTGTCGGCGAATTGAGGGCTTAAGGTTTTATTTTGGTCAATCAAGAGCTTAAGATTTTCAGAAAGCCACAATCAAGTCACAAGCTCGCTGTAGGTGGAATCGGGCATCGAAAATATCATGCGGCAAATGACCAACTATTGCACGTGGTATTAATGTCATATTTTCGATATCTAAATTCCATCGATGGGGAGCTCGAGACATGATTGAGGCTATTTTAAAACCTTAATTCCTTAATTCACCAAAAAGAATCTACAGTTCTCATTGACAAACGACTTAAACGTTAGCACCTGTTTTTGCACTTATCTCAAAGCTATCAAGCATAGAAAAAGAAGTACCAGAGATCCGTAGAGAGAGAGAGAGAGAGAGAGAGAGAGAGAGAGAGAGAGAGAGAGAGAGAGAGAGAGAGAGATCTTATGAAGGATTGCCATATTATTTGTGAGAAATGGGGCATTGATGTTGTAGATTCACGATTTGGTATGTATAAAGTGTCACGCCCCGTACCCCACGAAGCATGAGCATCCCGCTTATAGGTCGAAATAGTAGCGCGACGCTCCCAGGTTACGGCACCGACCCGAAACCCAAATCAGAGAAAACACGCCACATGCAGAAACGACGTATACATAATAAATATATATATACACCCAGACAATTTAAAAGCAACCACGAGTGGCAAGAGAAAACAAATTACGATTGATAAAACCCCCAAATACATTATCCATCTATAAACAAAAAGGTACATCAAAAGGCCACGAACAAAAAGGGATCGGTGACCTAGGGGTGTCAAACTAACTACCGGAGGGGTACGGTCAAAAAGTGTCGACCCTCACTCCTATGCTGATATCTAACCTACGGTACCCAGTCAGGATCAGAACCCGACGACTCCGAAGAACTCTCGAGTCGCTCTTGATCCTCCTTAGAACTCATGGCCTCCAACTCTATCTCTGGCTCAGGGTCTTGTTCTTCGTACTCGTCTATGTCCATAGGCTCAGGGGCTTCTGCGTCCACCTGCTCTGGAGCTGGATCGACTATCTCCGGCTCGAAAGCTAATCCACCAAGCTCCTCGTGCTCTTCCTCTTCTTCCACAATCTCGTACTCAACCTCAGAATCAGGATTGCCCTCCATATCAACATCTACTATATCACCGTCTGGACATTGAATATCTAGCAGACCCTCTCCCACAAACGGGACGTCGGCGGACCTGATGGGACCGAATTCTACTCCAAAACGATCCCGGAAACACCAGGCTAGGTACTCGTGAGTCTCAAAGTGAGCTAAGCCTACGTCTACCCATACTAAAGCATAGTGTCTATAGTACTTCTCCCCGTTCCCCACGGGGTGCAGTCGCGTACGCTCTATATGGTGGGGAATCCCAAAGCGTAACGGTGCATCGTCGAAGTTCATGGCGGGAGATCTGAAAAGTCGGTTTTACCACAACCGTGAGAAAACTCAGCAAGTAAAAACCACTAATCCTAAACTAGGCTAATGTGCACCTCCAGAGGGTAAATAAAACACATAAA